GGAAGTCTGGAGAGGGAGACCAACGCAAAGCGGACGTCCTCGTTGCACAAGGCGTCCTTCATCTTCTCCTCCCAAGAATTACGAGTAATAGTACTAGTTATAATACTCATAATAAAAGTACTAACAATAATCACAGGAATGATAGTAATAACAACAGTATGGTAATAGTAAGGTGAGAATTGCTGGCGCCCCGCTGGATGGAGGCTCATGTGGAGGCTAAAACAGATTTGCTGTAAGATCTGGGTTATTGGAGTTGACTGGCTTTGCGAGGGGTCAGTATCAAGGTGACGAGGCTGCGGGATATGGCTTGGTAAGCATTCATTTACGTGGCTATCTGCCCCTTTTCAGGAACATAAGCTGCTACGACGATGACTCTTTGAAAACTAGCCCAATCTTTCTTGGTCGCGCAGCACCACTACCTCTTTGCATCTCGCCTCCACGGGCTTCTCACCGTCAAAGCTAGTGCGCATGGCCTTCAGCGCGCATCGCATGGAGGCCAAGATCTGGGTGGTATTGATGCCTCGGTATACAGGGTTGCTGCTAAAAGGGCTGACATCAGGCTGCCATAGAGAGAATATTGGTAAATGGCAGGTTTGCTTATTGCGATACCTGAGCGGAAGCCCCTTAACAGCAGCCAAGCGTAAGTGCGATGATGAGACCTGCAGCCGTTGTACTCATTGTCTGTACACCGGCTGGTTGTTCAGCGCGATGATGCTCAGAGAAGAGCAATGCACCAGAAACATCAGCAATAACATGCAATTGAAATGCACAGCATCCCTGTGCTTCCGTCTCTAACTCTCTTTGTATTACTTATGTTTCTTTTTCTTGTTCTTGTTCTGCTTTCGGCCTCACCAGCCCCGGTCAAGTCCCCTGCCCCACTTTAGTAGCTGGTCATGCACCGGACGGTTGAATTATGGCATGAAAGTCATGCCTATATCTCTGACAAGAGACTGTCCAACTTGTAGTAGTTGATCTCCGTGGTGGGCAGGGTCTCCACCACATCACCACCGCGAGCGCGGAGCCCCCGCGAAGGGCGGGACCGCTTCGTCGAGGCCGCCAGGGCGCTCAAGGCCCCGACACCAACGAGCGTGGACCCAACGCCTCCGCTGCATTTTTAACTCTGGAAAAGGTAGTTGAACTTTGACTGCGTATGAAGAGTGTAGCAGAACACCGCCAACATCTTGGCCTAGAAATGCAAGTTTGAAACACACATAGCCGGAACCCAAAAGGAAGTACGAGGGAGATCGGAGAGGCGTGCTAAGCAACCTCTGCATTTCTCAAAGGTTCAGCCTGCATATATGCCAGCAAATATCTCTTTTTCAGGCCATCAATGAAGCCCTCCAAAGGAAACCCATACGCTTCAGAAAACTTACAACCCTTGATACCATCCAGAAACTCCCTATGTTGCCTCGACTTCGTAACCCCCATAATTCCCCAAACATACCGAACCACCTAGGACCTTTGGGGCAAAGCAAAAAGGCAGCCTTCACAGCACGAGCTGCCAGATGAAACTGGCGGCCCGCGAGGGGTGTTGGACTGGCCAGCGGACGTGGTTGCAGCTCCACGCAAGGCGGTGGATGGACTGGGAGAAACCTCATGTGAGCTATAGTCTAAACTCCCAGTGTCCCCCTTTATAACCCTTATAATGCTTCCCCCTATAAGCCCCTAAATAACCTTTTTTAAGGAGTCTAGACCCTCGCTCATGTCAGAAGGTTTTAGGTTTTTTGGGGGGGACTTCAAGCTTACTTGATGCTTCCCCAACTGGGCACGATGAGGCGGACGGCTTGGGGATTAAGATGCCTCAGGAATTTTGGGGCCATGGCCTCCTCATGTTGCTCAGCTTCTGCCATCTGATCTTCTCTCGTATGCGCTGCTTTTCGACATGAATAGGTGTGTTGGGTTTCTGCTGTGGGGGTTTAGATTTGACGTGTTCCTTCTTTGAGTTTGGGATCGTGCAGTAGCAAGGTGACTCTTGTTTGCCGGTTCCGGTATATTTCCGAAATCGAAAAAAACTACTGAGCTCTGGAGAGACGGCATAGCTCACGGCGAAGGCCGCCATGGCGCAAGACGTGACAAGAGGGATGAAAATTTGGACTGGTACCCGCTATTGGCAAATGCCTTAAGCCAGGTACACCAAGACGTGAAGCTTTGTAAGCTCGTCATGGAACGCATGCACCATCGCAACCCCTAAGCTAAGAATTCAGGAACTTTGCTGGCCCCCAACATAAATGCTATGCATGACCCTTGTAAAGCCATGTGCGACAGCAGGGAACTGAGCCCCCTCTTAGCCCACTTTGATTCTTTGTATACTAAACCCGCGGAAACCCATCCGCCCTCCCCTATACTCCACAGCCTAAACTCTTGAATCCCAAGCCTTTCACCACCAACCATTTCCAGTTGTTTAAGCCCCAACACCCTCACCCCCCCAACCCGACCCCGCCACCCGCCTTCTGCAGGCGGTCTGTCTGACCCCAAGTGGCCGCATCGCTGAGGAGCTTCCTAGGCTGCATGTGGTACGTACATAAACACGAATAATTTGAAGCAGGCTTGGGGTGTTAGGATTGCCAAAACCCTCTAAGTACCAAACTATCCACTGCAAAATCTCCTACAATCCTGATATGACCCCTGCTGCATTCCCTTTGGGGTTGCCAAAATCTCTCTGCCTGGACAAGAAAAGTTGGCAAAACAAAAGCCCCAAACCCCTACAGATGGTATCATGGACCATTCATCTGCATGCGTATCAAACTTTTTGAAGGTCCAGGTATACCCTGAGCCCTAAATTTTAGAAATAGCCCCTTTAAAAAGGGGACTTTGGGGTGTCCATTCGTTGCTCATTGAAGATGTGGCTCTCCACGCCCGGCTCATCAGCCGAGTCCAGGGGCTCCCGGCCAACTTGTCCCGGTTGTAGCCTCCAGGGTTTTGGGTTTAGGGAGGGTCCCGTAAAAAGGGGAGCCAAACAAGGGGTCTAGAGGGGTGTATCTAGGGTGGGAACCTATAAGGAGAGACAAGGACCAGAATATGTGTAGGAATATGAACATACATATGCGGAAAAGAGAGAGAGAGAGAGAGAGACAGAGAGGCAGAGAGAGATATCGATGTACATGTTAATATGACCACACATGTATGTGTATGCATGCATATGGATATGCAGGTGCAAGGTTTTAAAGAGCCAGGGTTTTTGAAGCGAGTTGAAAACATGCCCTATCAAGTTCATCAGTTTAGAGCTGAGGTGCCTTGACCACCACTTAGATTCCGAAAATGATTTAAATCCTACATTGTACAAGGGCTCTTAGAGCCTTAGATTATGGTGTACGGCTTTTGACTGACTTCCCCTAAACTACACCCTGAACCAGAAGACTGCTGGGATAGTGCACTTGCTGATAGCGTCCAAGGACTTGCTCAGCGCTTTAGAATGAATCTAGTCCAGTCCTCCATGTTACCCACCAGCAGCAAGTGCTTCCTAGAACGATAGTCAAAGTGCAAATCCCAGGCTAGCACTTGAAAAGCCAATCATCCCTCACACACGGAAGGACCCCAAGCCAAAGCTGCCTGGCAAAGTTACGGCCCCCGTCAAGGTCGAAACGTACGTCCAGGCCCGCGGGAAGAAGATGCTCAGGCAGCACTTCCTTCCACTCCTGTGGATTGAGGGCTTCAAGCAGTGGCACGGAAAAGGAAACTTCCTGAGCTTCTTCCCCACCCGCTGCCGCTGAAGCTGGAAACTGTTATGTGCCTGTCTGTCCTTTGGACATCTGTCCCGCTAGTTCCTTAGGTTGTCAAACACCTTTCCTTCAACCAGTGTAGACTGCGCGTCTTTACAGAAGGTTCTGCCTCGCAACATGTGGCTACATGAGACTTGGTAGACAGGCGCCGAAGTTCTAGGCTAAAATCATGGTGCTATCTCGGTGGTTTTCGCAACTAGTAGGGGGCCCTTTTGTGGGTCCCTACATTCACGACTATAATATGTTGGGTTGTATTGAAGGGGCTCCCTATGTCCTTAAAGAACCTAGGCCAAGCCTATCCGAATCCCTCGTGCACCATACATGAGTCATTGCAAGACCTGTCTGCTTGGCTAAGCCTGGGTTGCTGTCAAGGAACCCGAGTGAAATTACGAACGCCGGATGTATAAAAATGACGGGGCTTCCTTGTCATGACGGCTAAGTTTAATTCCTTACAGCAAGCTAGGTATTTAGACATGTATATACGTATATAGATATCCCAAGACCCTCCTCGTACACTCAAACAGGGTATATGGTCCCTAAGAGTGGGTATTTGGGGTATATAGAGGCTAGATGGAGGGTCTAGGTATGTGTGCGTGTGTATGGTCCGCAAGAATATAACGGCTTCGATGTTCTTTTCCATTCCCTTGCCCCTATCAATCCAATCCCCAGAAACCCTTACTTACATTATATAAGGGCTATATAGGAATAAATGGAAACTACTCTTCCCGGTTTAGGGTTTGAGGTTTTGGCTACCTAAGTTTGATACGCACCCTAAAACCTAAAGCCTAAACCCTATTATTCTTAATCTTAGTATTATGAATACTACTATTGTCAGTACTATATCTATTAACCCTATTATTACTACTGGAGTTATCAGTACCATCATTAATATCCTTTACTAACTGTTATCAGGATTAAGCCCAGCTCCTGTCCAGGTTTGAATCGTACCTTTCCCTCTGGCAGGGCCATCCGGCGAGCTTCTGCAACCAACTTGTCCCTTCGGTCGGATACGGCTTGGGGCTTTGGATTTAACAGTTTCAATTAACGGCGGACGCTCGTATGGACCCCCAAATACTCGAACCCTTATAAGAAGGACTCCCAACATGGGGTCCCTTTAGGTTGAATTTACCCCTCCTCAAACTATGAACGTGGAACCTGCAAGCGGACGTTTGAAGTCTGATGTTCTCTCAAAGGGTGTATGGGATTCAATGTTAGTTTGGGGCAAGGTAGGTATGGGGTCATGTTTGGAGATTCTTGACAAAAGACGGGTCCATGTTGATTGCTCCAAATTCAAAAGCTTACAGAAGGAAGTCGTAGCAGTTGCCTATCTATGCCTTAAGCTAGCAAGCTCCGCAACGGAAGGGCCAGAATAGGGACGCTCCGGCATGATGAAGCTCAAGGGACCATGAATGGCCCCCCCCCGCCAATAACACCTAAGCGTTTTTATGTATAGGGACCCAGTAGTCCCTACCCCTAAACCCTAACCCGCTTTGGGCCCGGGGAGGCTGCTACATTGGGGCCGCCCATCAAAGCCCCTCTAAAAAGATCCGACGAAACCATTACTTCTGTAGCCCTTGCCTTAAAGCACGAATCCACAAAACATTTTGATTAAGGCCGGTATAACATTTCCCGGTTTCCATTCCATACTGCATTTGAATCTCTATTTTGGTGTTTGGTTACTAAACAAGCAAGATTTGTCCATCTCACTCTCCGTTATGGGGCAAATATCCCCAAACTTGTTATAATCCCTCTACAACCCCTATGTGGCCATGTATAACCCCCTAGGCCCCTACGTGTTAGGAGGGACCTCTAAAAGGGACCCCTAATCCCATTACTTTATATAACCTTTATATAGGCCTTATATACCCCCTATATAACCAGGTAGTACCCATATTACTCCCAATAAGCTACAAGGGTCCCCATTAAGGGTCTCCCCTAAAGCCCCTAGATTCTTCAGTGTTAAATCAGGATCCGGGCCTCTGAGGTTGCGGCCCTCCGAAGAGCCAACGAAGAGCCAAAGGGAGGCTAAGAATAGCCACCTGAAGCTTAGAGTCCCCCTTAAGTAGACAGAATATGGGGTATATGGGGATCTTATTTTAATATACCCAAAGCCATATTCTATTTATTTAAGGAAGGCTATAATGGTGGCTCGGGAGGCCCTGGAACCTTTCAAGGTGTTGCAGGGACAGAGGGAGAGAGAGAAAGGGTGTAGGGCTTAGGTTCTAGGCTTGGGGCTTGAGGGGAAGTGCATGTAGGTACTAGAATGGAGGTAGATATGGGGACTATACAAGGCATCTGACAGTAATCTAGGGGCCCAAATAGCTTCGGAAGTAGGCTAGAAGTCGGATTGCATAGGCGCCGCGTTCTTTATGTGCAGGTCTA